ACTTCCTGGGACCAAGGTTTCTGCATATCACCAATACCCATCAGAGGGCCTCCTGAACAGCAAATTCTCAAGACCCCTCCCTCCCCCTACACATACACACACACATACACACACACACACACACACAGAGGCATGTGTGCACCCACACGCAGAGTCACAGGGTCCCTCACCCTTTGCTTCCAAACCTTTTCAGAGCAGCGTCAGCCTCTCCTAGTTCTCAGATTCCCAATCCCAGTTTCTTTTTCTATAAAATGGGAATAATGTCAACATTGACCTTACTGGATAGCCCTGAGGGTATTTTGTTTGCTTGGTTTTGTTTTTGTTTTTGTTTTTTGAGACTGAGTCTTACTCATTTGCCCTGGGTAGAGTGCCTTGGCATCATAGCTCACAGCAACCTCAAATTCTTGGGCTCAAATGATCCTCCTGCCTCCGCCTCCCAAGTATCTGGAACTACAGGTGCCCACCACAATGTTCACTTAGTTTTTCTATTTTAAGTAGACAGAACTGGGGGTGGGGGTGGGAAGTGTCTCATTCTTGCTCAGGCTGGTCTTGAACTCCTGAGCTCAAGCCATCCACCCTCTTCCCAGAGTGCTGGGATTACAGGTGTGAGCCACCACACCAGGCCAGCCCTGAGGTTAAAGACAGATAAACCTCTAATGTGGTTGGCAAATTCTCAGTAAATGAGTTACTTCCTATTCTGACATCCCCTGTTGCTTGACATCTGTGTCCTGGCCTGGCCATGCTGGCCATACCCTCTAAAGATTTCTCTTACATGACTTGGCACCTGTAATTCAGTGGTTAGGGCACCAGCCACATATACCAAGGCAGGCGGGTTCAAACCCAGCCCAGACCTGCTAAACAACAATGACAACTGCAACAACAAAAAAACAGCTGGGCATAGTGGCTGGTGACTGTAGTCCCAGCTACCTGGGAGCCTGAGGCAAGAGAATTGCTTAAGCCCAAGAGTTTGAGGTTGCTGTGAGCTGTGACAGCATGGTACTCTACTGAGGGCGGCAGGCAGAGTGAGACTTTGTCTCAAATTAAAAAAAAAAAAAAATTCCCCTCGCAGAGTGGTTTCATTATTATTTCTACAACTTTCGGAAGGATTTGAGGGACAAATTAAAGAGGCAAGTATTATGACCTCCGAGGAATTCTGTGCTGCACACCACAACTCCCAGTATAAGGAGCTGGGCCTTTTCATGGGTTGATGAGTGGAGCTCTTTGTGTGTGTGGAGGTGGGGGAGAATACTGACAGGGCTTAGGGCCCCACAGATAGGGTGGTCTGGGTCCTAGTCAGAGTTACTCAATGTTCTTTCCTACTGGGAGCCCTATCCTGGCCCCATGTACCTGTATTACATTGATAAGATTCAGTCTCTGCCCCGCTGGCCTAGGAAGTCCCCATGAAGTTGCAGGATCCCAAATTTGGCCCGGATCTCTCCTCCTAGCTGTCAAGTGGTATCTGTGGGTCACCCTCTCCTTACCTTGCTTCCTGGAAGTCAGGCAGGGTAGGGCAGGGCAGGGCAGAGGGTGTGGGGAGGAGCCTCCTCCCTGGGCTTCCCCAGCACTGGGCTCTCACCTCTGTTATACCAGGAATCATGCTGACTTCCCGGCCTGCAGCAGCTCAGTCCAGCTGCTATCTGTCGTGGTGGCCAGTCCAAGGTCTGGCCCAGGAAGAAAGTAAGTGTAGGCACAGGCTCTGGAGCCGCACAGACTCCAGTCTGCACCTAGCTTTGTTCTTTCCTTGCTGTGTGATCTTTGGCTCTCCCAGCCTCCCTTTCTTCATCTGCAAAATGATAATTCTGAAACCTTCCTTATGGGGTAGTTGTGAGAGCAGAATAAAGCAATTTGCTCAATAACTGTGAGCTTCCTTCCCCGCTGTCCTCAGAAAACATTTGTTAAATAAATGAATAAAGAAGCAAACAAATCGGCCATCCACCAAGCTCACTACATCACGTCTTTTGGAAGAAACAACCAGGGTGGATGGAGAGAAAGCACCAGAGTTGGAACCAGGTCAGACCACCCACTGCCGTGACCCAGTCTCTCCTCCGTCTCTGAGCCTTGGGATTTTTTATCTGCTAAATGCAATATCTGGCTTACCTTACCTCGAAACATTGCTGTAAAAAGGAAGTGAGATTGTTGGGGGCGACAAAGAGTTTGGTAAACAGTACACTACTTGGTAAACTGATATGGGCTTTATAAACTGTAAAGGGCTATCCATACATTTTTGACATGCTTCTCCCATCAGCCAGCTGAGCTTAACTCCAAGTCCCTGAGAGTCCCCCTTCTGCAAAACTAAGGGAGCGGGGAGGGGTTGATGAATAGGGATTCTTCCCACTCACATGCTCTCTCTCTGTCTCTATCTCACACACACACACAGTCTGGCCCTGGTTCCCGCTGGCTGAAGACACACAGACTTAACAACCTCTCAGCTGGTTTTGTTGGTGATCCTGTTTCTGGGAGTTGTGGGTAGACCAGGCCCACCTGCCAGCTGGATAGATGCTCCTGGATGGTACCTCCTCTTCAGCCACATGTGGACATAGCCCATCCATCCCATATAATCACAGACACACACACACAAGATACACCAGCGGCCTCCCCTTTGCTCTTTCCATGCTACCAGAGAAACCAAGAATTCTCTGACCTCTCGGATTAGAGAGGTGGCTGCAGCAGGGGCTGGTATTTGGATTTGAGAACCAGTTCCACTCCCAACCCAGACATCCCCACCCAGGACACACAGGGGAGCGCTCCCAGGTTCTTGGCCCAAGCCTCCACCCCACCTGAGGACCAGTACAGGAAAGGAGGGACACCACTGGAAAGGAGAAGGCCCTCCTCTTCAACAAGGCCTTTCTCCCCACCTCCCACCCCAGCACCAATCAGAGGAGACTCAGTCTTGGAGGCACATTTCATCACGAACGCTATAGACTGTGGATCCTTTATCAAACCATCAACAGACAGTTGGGCAAACGGAGACCCAGAGAGGAGGAAGGATTTTCCAGAGGTGACAATAGTGTCCAGGGGAGAGCTGGGACCAGATGCTGCACCTCTGATTCACTGTCCATTCTCTTCCATCTAGAACACACTGCTCTATCACCCAGGTATTCAGTGGCTATTCTAAGCATGTAACTGTGTGCCAAACTCTGTGCTAAGGGCAAGGATAAGACAATGAATAAAATGAATTTCTCATCCTTATAGCACTGAAGGTAAAATAGAGTATCAGCGTTAGTAGTGACACAATAGCTCACATTTGTACAGCATTCCCCAATTGACAAAGTATTTTCCTACCCTGCCTCTTACTTCATCCTCCCCACCAACCCACAGACCCCACAAACTTACAAATCAGACCCCCAATCTGAAAAGGAGTAAAGTGGGGCTGCTGAATGGCTCTTGACTTGGCTTGTAAGCAAGTGTTGAAATCAAAATCCTGGGTGTTGCCTGTAGTCCCAGCTACTTGGGAGGCTGAGGCAGAAGAATCGCCTAAGCCCAGGAGTTGGAGGTTGCTGGAGCAACTCCACTGCACCCTACCAAGGGCGAAAAAGTGAGACTCTGTCTCTACAAAAAAAAAAAAAAAATCCTGGGTGCCCACCTCAGGCCCAGGGCCATTTCTTCACCTGTGGAGCTAACTTCTTTCTCTGGTTGGCTTATCAGGACCTAAAGAGAGGGATATCTGGCCAGGCACAGTAGCTCACACATGTAATCCTAGCACTCTGGGAGGCCAGGCAGGTGGATTGCTTGGGCAAGAGCAAGACCCCACTTCTACTAAAAATAGAAAAAACTAGCCAATCATTGTGGTGGGCACCTAAAGTCCCAGCTACTCAAGAGCCTGAGGCAAGAGGATCATTTCAGCCCAAGAGTTTGAGGTTGCTGTGAGCTATGACACCACGGCACACTTCCGAGGACGACAGAGTAAGACTCTGTCTCCAAAAAGAAAAGAATAGGGACATCTCTTACTTTTGCTTCCTGCCCTTCCCCTAACCACCCACACCGCCCCCCCCCCCAACACATACGTATCAGGCATCTGGAACATAGCTGGGTATTAGATCAGAGCTAAATGAGAGAGGCCTGAATGTCTGGGGAAAGAGTCTATTGTTCTCTCCTTCTTCACAGGTAGGTGAGTGCACAGCCCCACATCTGGTCTTCCTACCAGTAAAAGACATGGAGTACCAGCCTGAACCCTGTCATCAGCACCAGGATGTGATAGGGAAAACGGCCTGTGAGCCTGGCCCTTTCAATAATCTGGTTGTTGGCTCGGTGCCTATAGCTCAACCGGCTAAGGCGCCAGCCACATACACCTAAGGTGGCGGGTTCGAATCCCCTGCCCGGACCCGCCAAACAACAATGACGGCTGCAACCAAAAAATAGCCGGGCGTTGTGGCGGGCGCCTGTGGTCCCAGCTACTTGGGAGGCAGAGGCAGGAGACTCACTTGAGCCCAGGAGTTGGAGGTTGCTGTGAGCTGTAATGCCACGGCACTCTGCCCAGGGGGATAGCTTGAGGCCCTGTCTCAAAAAAAAAAAAATAAAATAAAATAATCTGGTTGTTTTCACCATCCCCTGGGGAAACCTAGCAAATAGTGAGTTCCTTAGTACCCTGCCCTATACCAGATCCTTTATCCTTTCCAACAATTATGCTGGAAAAATGGCATTGTCCTCACCTGACAATTCAGAAAACTACAGAGAGAGAGGGTGTAACTTAGCCAAGGTCACACAACTAATAAAGTAGATGGCATTCGGCACCTTGAGATCTAAGTAGCCCCCTCTTATCACTTCTGTCACCTCCCAGTGATGTCTTTGGTGTCATCTCAGCACAGCTTTGGCCTCCGAGAACAAAAAGAAGTATTGGGTTCCCAGGAAAAGTTAGGTCATGAGAAGTTCCTTCTAAACATGAATAGTCCCTTAAAAATAGAACCACCCTCCAGGTGCAGCTTGGAGGCCTGGCCATGGCCTCCTGAAGACATTGTCATACACCTCCCCCCTTGCCCCGCAGGGCCAGGGACCCCTCTTACCTGCACCAGGGGCAGTGGCCGTGGACCCTCAGGGGCTGAGTATCTCTGTCTGCGTCCCGGCCCCAGCCCCAGCCCCAGCCTCTGCGCCGTCTGGCAATTGCAGAAGTGAGGAAACACAGCCTATCACTGCCAAGTCACCCTGAGAGGAAATACTGTGACCCTAGGGCCCCTCCAACGGATGCCACAGACAGCTCCAAGCTAGGCAACCCAGCCCTGGGCACTGTGCAGAGGCTTCTCGCAGAGCGAGGGGCAGGGCTGCGAGTGGTCAGCACCAGGGCAGGGAGCTGCAGCGAGAGGGGAAAAGCAGGAGAGAGAAAGCAAGAAAGCGGGAGAGTGTGTCCTCAGGGGCGTGAGAAAGGGAGCGTGGGAGTGAGGAAGAGGAGAGAAGAGAGAGGAGGGCAGGAGGGAGTAAGGAGAAAAAGGAGAGGGTAGAGGAAGAGATGGAAGGCAAGAGAGACGAGATTGGGAGAGGAATGGGCAGACGCAGAGACCAAAGGAGTTCGGAGGGAAAAAGATGAGACGCAGACAGTAAGCATGTGGCTGCCCTGGATGGAGTGAGGGAGAAAATGAAAGGGGGTGGAGGAAAGGGAGAAGCCACCAGCATGTGTGGAGGAGAGGCAAGCAGAGAAGCTCCCTTGGTCAGGAGCATGACTGGGCAGGGCATCTGTGGCAACCAAGAGCGCTGAGCCCCGGACTCCCGAGGGACAGAGTGCTGCAGGGGTGTGGCAGGGAGGAAACTTCCTAAGTCCCGAGGCTCTGCCAGCTTGTAGTTCAGGGGAACGTGAGGGTGAAGAGATGTGGGCAGCTGAGTGTGGGTGTGGGCCTAATGTGAGCTGGGAGGGATTTCCTATGGAGTAAGTAGTGGGGGATGAGCCAGACTCCCTGCCTCAGTTTCCAGTCCATTTACCCATGTATGCATTCAACTAACCAACCAACATTGACCGGGCGCCCCCAGGCATCAGGCATATCAGCCTTCAGACCTATCAGCCCATCCAACACCCTCAACACAGAGTGGGAAACTCAAGTCCAGGCAGTATCAGGGGCCACAGTGAGGCAAATGCAAAGCCAAGCCAGCAATGCAGGCTCCCGACTCCTCAGTCAGGGTCCAGCCTCGGCTCTGCCTTGGGTGTCTGGGCTAGCCTTATCCTGCTGCTCAGATCCCAGTGCTGTCCCTTATCAAGCCAAAAATGGCTCAAACCACCTGGCCGGGTGCAGTGACTCGCGCCTAGCACTCTGGGAGGCCGAGGCAGGTGGATTGCCTGGGTTCAAGACCAGCTTGAACAAAAGTGAGACCTTGTCTCTAAAAATAGCCAGGAGTTGTGGCAGGTGCCTGTAGTCTCAGCTACTTGGGAGACTGAGGAAAGAGAATCATTTAAGCCTAAGAGTTTGAGGTTGCTGTGAGCTATGATGCCATGGCACTCTACTGAGGGTAAGAAAGTGAGACTCTGTCTCAAGAAAATAAGCAAACAAACAAAAAACATCACATTTAACACGGACCTCAGCCCTGAAGGATTAGACCCAAGAATTTGCACTCCCCCCACACCATCACACACAGTCAAACACACTCAAACCACTTATGCCTGTAACACTTGCACACTCACACTCAGCACACACTCTCATGCAAAGATACCCACTCACATCTATGCTCCCCTCATTCACACCAGACATACTCACCTCCTTCTTCAAGGTCATGCACCTACACTTCTCCACACAGTCTCCTGGTGTCCCAAGATGCAGCCCATTATCTCCCTTAGAGGGCTTTTGCGCCTCAGGTGGCCTCAGACACAGAGGACATAGTCTGGACATTGCGTTTAACCTCCACAGACACTGATCACCTGCCAGGCAAGCCACCAGCTCTGCTCCTCAATTAAAATCCTTGTCCCCAAAACAGCTACACCTCCTTGGCCTATCTCAGGCCACCAACCCCCAGGAGGGATGTCGAGCCTGGGAAGGACCTCCATCTGTAAAAATAGCTGTGTGTTGTGGCAGGTGCCTATAGTCCCAACTACTTGGGATGCTGAGGCAAGAAAATCACTTAAATCCAAGACTTTGGGGTTGTTGTGAGCATGATTCTAGGGCACTCTACCCAGGGTGACAAATGAGAGTCTGTCTCAGAAAAAAAAAAGATCCAGGACTGTTCGTCTCAGCCTGTTTTCCATTTTCTATGTGTGCATGTAGCAATTGCATATCAATATCGCTTTTGAGATTGTCGATAAGCAGGGTAGGCAGGTAGATATTATTATCAATAGTTTACAAATGGGCTCAGCACCTGTAGCTCAGCGGCTAAGGGCACCAGTCACACACACTGGAGCTGGTGAGTTCAAATCCAACCCAGGCCTGCCAAACAACAATGACAACTACAACAAAAAAAATAGCTGGGCATTGTGGAGGGTGCCTGTAGTCCCAGCTACTTGGGAGGCTGAAACAAGAGAATCACTTAAGCCCAAGAGTTTGAGATTGCTGTGAGCTGTGATGCCACAGCACTATACCAAGGGCAACATAATAAGACTCTGTCTCAAAAAAAAAAAAAGAGTACCTCAAATATTTTACAAATGAAGAAACCGAGGCTGGCTCTCTTTCTCTCATATCCCATTCTTTTCTTTTTTTTTTTAGAGAGACAAAGTCTTAGTTTGTCACCGTTGGTAGAGTGCTGTGGCGTCACAGCTCAGGTGCCCACCACAACACTCAGCTATTTTTTGTTGCAGTTTTACCAGGGCTGGGATTGAACCCGCCACCCTCAGTATATGGGGCTGGCACCCTACTCACTGAGCCACAGACACCGCCCCCACATCCATTCTGTTAGCAAATTCTGTCAGCTCTGCTTTAAAATATATCCAAATTTGAATCTAATCAAGCTGTTAGATCTAATCTTCACTTTACAGGAAATATAGAGGCAGAGGAATAAATGAAATGACCCCACCAGGAGCAGTCAGCCAAATCCAGAATGTAGGACATTCTAGAGGATAACTGATCCAATTCTTTCAACAAATCAACCATTTGAAAACAAAAACAGAAACCAGGGAGGAGATTGTTCCAGATGAAAAGAGATTTAAAAGACAAAGATTTAATACAACATCTGGATCTTTCTTCGGAACCTAGATCATCTAATCAACTGTAAAAAGACATATGTATCAGTTAGGGTCCTGGAAAGATCTGGCACACTGTAACAAAGCAATCGTAAAGATGCTTGGGGACCAGGTGAGGTGATTCAGGCCTATAATACCAGCACTTTGGGAGGCTGAGGTGGGAGAATCACTTGAGGGCAGGAGTTTACAGCCACCCTCGGGTTTGGTGCCTGTTGCTCAGCAGCTAGGGCGCCAGCCACATACCCCGGAGTTGGCGAGTTCAAATCCAGCCAGGGCCTACCAAACAACAATGACAACTACAACCAAAAAATAACCAGGCATTGTGGTGGGTGCCTGTAGTCCCAGCTACTTGGGAGGCTGAGGCAAGAGGATCTCTTGAGTCTGAGAGTTTGAGAGTGCTGTGAGCTGTGATGCCACTGGCATTGTCCCCAAGGGGGGGGGGGAAGACCAGCCTCATCAACATATCAAGACTCTTGTCCCTACCAAAAAAAAAAAGTTCCCCCATCTCTTCTCTGCTCTCCCTCCCTCTCTTCTCTACTCTCTCCTCATCTCTCTCCCCTTTTCTCTCTCCTCTTTTCTCTTCTCTTTTTCTCTCCTCCTTAGTGCTGCTCTGCAGCCTCCCTCTCCCACCAATAAAAACCTTTTCTACAAAAAAAAAAAAAGGCTTTTTTTTTTTTTAAAGACATGTAGACAGAGCTGAAAACCCAGAGGGAGGGGCCACTAAAACCTGAAGAGGCTGTTTGAGAAGGACCACCTGACAGATGTGACCTTGGAGAGAAAATTGCAGCTGATCCTGCAATGGGCAAGGAGAGAACAAAGAGGTAAATACCCAAACCTCTCTCTTCGCCCTCTGACATCTTTTTTTTTTTTTTTTTTTTTTGAGACAGAGCCTCAAGCTATTCCCCTGGGTAGAGTGCTGTGGCATTACAGCTCACAGCAACCTCCAACTCCTGGGCTCCAGCGAGTCTCCTGCCTCCGCCTCCCAAGTAGCTGGGACCACAGGCGCCCGCCACAACGCCCGGCTATTTTTTTGGTTGCAGCCGTCATTGTTGTTTGGCGGGTCCGGGCTGGGGATTCGAACCCGCCACCTTAGGTGTACGTGGCTGGCGCCTTAGCCGGTTGAGCTATAGGTGCCGAGCCACTCCCTCTGACATCTTACCAGTGCCTCTGGTTGAGCCCAACCAGAAGCAAGGGAGCCAGTTAAGGCAACTCATGCAGTCATCCTCCAGGGGTGAAGAAGGTTCAAGAGTGGGTCTGGAGGGGGAAACAGAAGATATCCAGGGCAGATATATTTGAGATAATCAGGGAAATTGGAATATGGATGGGATTTTATTTTATTTTATTTTATTTTTTGAGACAGAGTCTCACTTTGTTTTCCTGGGTAGAGTGCCGTGGCATCATAACTCATAGCAACCTCAAACTCTTAGGCTCAAGGGATCCTCTTGCCTCAGCCTCCCAAGTAGCTGGGACTACAGGCTCCCAACACAATGCCTGGCTAGTTCTATTTTCAGTAGAGTTAGGGATCTCACTTCTGCTCAGGCTGGTCTTGAACTCCTGAGATCAAGCAATCCACCCACCTTGGCCTCCCAGAATACTAGGATGATAGTGATAGGCATGAGCCACCATGTCCAACCCAGGATTTTATTTTATTTTACTTTTTTGAGACAAAGTCTTTCCTTCTATTGCCCAGGCTAGAGTGCCTTGGTGTCAGCCTAGCTCACAGCAACCTCAAGTGCCTGGGCTCTAGTGGATCCTCCTGCCTCCGCCTCCCAAGTAGCTGGGACTACAGGTACCTGCCACAATGCCCAGTTAATTTTTCTATTTTTAGTAGAGAAGGGATCTTGCTTTGCTCAGGCTGGTCTCAAACTCCTGAGCTCAAAGGATTCTTCCACCTTAGCCTCCCGGAATGTCAGGATTGCAGGCATGAGCCACTGTGCCAGGCCAG